TGGCTACTAGGAAGAAGTGGCTTCTATTACTTCTCTGAGCTTCCCACACAGCACCAACCCACATCTTCATTACCTGCATCCCACCCCCTCAGTGGGTGCTGGTTCCCTGCTACCTCTAACATCAGCAGAGTGCAGCTAATACTACTTGTTACTCCTTAGGTTTTCTGGCCAGTCATCCAAAAATCTCTCCACAATCTTGTCAACTCACTTTGCTGTTGCTGCCTAGGAAAATCTCTGCAACCGCTCGCGTTTGGCCGGTTTTCCCCACGGCCATATGGTCCCCACGCCTCTCCCGCCTCTCCTCCGCTCGCCATGAAAGCTTAACTTGTAATTCGGCAAAAACGAGAAGCCCGCATCCCCCTGCTCACGGCTGCTCTGTGGGTTTTTCCAAGAGCTGTAATGAGGAATGTTAAACAAACACCTTTAATTAAAGGAATGTTTGTTTAGTGTAATTAAATGCCTAAGGAACACCGCACTGTTGCAACCCCGGATAGTTTTGCAGTGCGTGCTGTACCTTGCGATATTCGAGTGCGAGGGAAATAATGCAAGCAAGTGACAACCTGGCAGTAAACACCCAAATATTAAGCAGCGTCCAAGCCATGCTACCCGTTTACCAACGCCTACGTGTCAAGAGGAACTGTATCAGCTGAAACAGGCGATAAACTTGAGAAACTGAGTTACAAAAAATCCTGAAAAATAGAGAGAAATAAAACCCCAGCCCCAAACTCACAGCGTTTTCAGTCCCATTTCCTCTACTCTCTTCAACTACCTTTCTATCCGAGCAGAAAAGAGGAGTCCTTTGAAGAAGGAGACTTTCGACACCGCTCCCAGAGCGGCACAGGGCTTGTTTTTTTATGTGACAAAAGTATTCCCCTTCCTTTCCAGCCGCCTCCACGGCCAACCAGCGCACTGGCAGCCCCGAGTGAAACCCAAGTCTCCCGCCTGGCAGGGTGGAGCATTCCCTCCGGGCTGCAGCTCCGCTCCGTTTTTCGCTAAACTACCGCAACTCACTCGAAGTTTTGGGGCGTTTATTTTGTGAAGACAAAAGGAAGAGAAGCGGCGGGACCCCCGGCGGGGGCCGGGGCCGGGCGCGATAGCGGCACTCGAGATGTTTACCGCGACTTCGAGCCCCGGAGCCACGCGGGCGGCGCGGTGCCCTTCCCTTCCCTTCCCCGCCTCTCGCCCCTGCACCTCCCTAGGCCGCTTCTCGTTCTCCAGCGCGGCATCCCCCGACCCCCGCCCCGCAGGTGGAGCGCGCCCGCCGACCCCCGGAAAGGAGGGAGGGCAGGAGGGAGGGAAAGAGGGAGCCGGAGCCGTGCCGCCGCGGCTGCAACAAAGGACTTCCGCCCCGCCGCGCTGCCGCTGCCGCAGCGCCGGCTCCGCCGCGACCGCACGGAGCCGGACCCCTCCCCTCGGCGGCCGCGGCTCCCGGCGCCGCCGCTGCCAGCGCTGCTGCGCCGCCGCCAATGCCGGGGCCCGGCGGGCGGCTTCCTGCCGCGCTCCGCTCTCCTCCCATGCCGCCGGGGACGCGGCGCGGCGCGGGCTGGCGCTGCCGGAGCCCCCTCAGCCCGGCTCCTCCCCGTCCTCCGGCGGAGCCCCCCGGACCCGCGGCGGGGCAGCGTTCGCCGGCGGGAGCCCACCGGGACTGTCCCGCCTCGCTCCTCTCCCGGCCCCCCGCAGTCCGCCCCTTCCCCGCGCACCCGGGCTCGCCGCAAGGAACGGGGCGTCTCTGCTTTCCCCCCGAAGCAGCCGTGGCCGGTGCTAACGGGGAGGCTCCGGTCACCCGTGTGGGTGTCCGGCGATGGAGTGTTGTACCCGCAGCGCCACGGCCCCCGCGTGGGACAGTTCAACTGCGAGAAAACCACTGCGAGCTGCGTGAGGAAGTGTTTCCTTCTCGCTGCAATTTCACACGTTAATACCTCCGCCCTCCCTCCTGGAGCTTCACGGTGATGCAGGAGCACAGCGCTGGCAGCCACCGCCACGCTCTGTCACAGATCCCGAGAACAGCGCTTTTTTTCATCCTTCCAGGAGCTGTTCCAGGCCCTCTTCCCACCAGTGTCTGGACCTCTCCTGTGTAACAACATCCAGCTTCTCCGGAACTATCCCATGTGAGTAAGTGGGATTTCCGGCCCCCCATGCTCTCTGCCGCAGATCTGAGAGAAAACATAAGCCAGGTCAGGCTTTCCTCCAGGTCTTACCACTTGACTTTTCCACCCCTAAAGTGACATTTGTCCTTCAGCACAAGCATTGTAAGTGTTTAATCCGCACAGCTCCATCATTCAGTTTCTGGAGAGAGCATTGTTTTTATGTTGCTGCAACTGAGATCCCTCTAAGTATCTGACAAGCCAAAGGGGCAAACTTAATCATAGCAAAGCTAAGAGATTTTATTACAAATTTGAAAATGGCAAAAGTAACAAAAAAGGCAACAAAATAAAATGCCACAACTTTAAAATGTGCCAGCATCCCTGGCACAATGACCCTGAAGGCTTTCCCGAGGCATCCCTCCTCTGTGGAAGCAAACAGGACAAACCCAACTAACAGCATCCCTGATTCAATGACCCTGAAGGCTTTCCGAGGCATCCCTCCTCTGTGGAAGCAAACAGGACAAACCCAACTAACACAATCCTCGTTTCCAAAAGGAGGATCAGCCCTTCCTCCTGGGTCTGTCTGGGGGTTTTCTAACCACCACAGAATAAAAGCAGATCTTTCAAAATATGTCTTTCAGAATGTGTCTAAAAAATCCCCGTTTCCCCTTCTCACTCTGCTTCAGCCTTGCCTCTGGGATATATAGCAGTGCCAAGGGAAAAAAACCTCTGTGCCTGTAAGACACCAGCTCCCACAGAAGATGAAGAGACCCCCACATTACAGCTGCTTTGTAGGTTTTCCTGTTTTATAGGAAGTTAAATAAACGGCCTCCATAAGCAAACAGAGTCGTGGTTTTCAAATCACGCCGAAAGGTTGCTTTTCTTACGGTTCAAGAGTCTTTTTCTCCCTGCCTCTTTACACACCCCAGGGCAGCACAAGCCAAGAGCGCCCATGAGGGGCTTGTGCAGCCTCTTGCTCTGTCCCATGTGTGTCACACCAGGAGCTCCTGCCACCTCCGGTAAGGTGGGGCACAGGGCAGTGCCCCTTTCTCACCACCCCCGCTCTCTTACTGCCTTCCCACCACACTTACATTTGCAATTTACTTTTTTTTTAATTATTATTTTCTGACCACAGAGGAGAAGGGAGTAGAAACACGCATGGAGAGAGCTGTGATTGCATCCTGATGTCTTTCTGACCCACCAGCATAGGCTGTGTCACTTTGTATTGGCTGTGAGTGATATCATTCCCTGTGTTTTACAGCAAAACACCAAATTTCATTCCTCACCACCGCTTTCATCAGTTTGGCTCTGGTTTCTCTGAAGCTCTTCAAAGTCCTCTTTGGACCAGAGTCAACCTAAATAACATGTAAATAATTAATCATTTAAATAAATAACATGCCATCTGAAAATAGCGACTCGCTCCGTATGCAGGTTAATAAATATGTTAAATAACCCAAAACAGAGTACAAAACCTTGAGCCACCTACTGCCAACCTCTTTTGGAGAACAAAAGTGGCTACTAATATTTATAGGAGCAGCAGGATTATAGCTCCATGGTCTCTCAATTCTGCTTCTGCGCAAACACAGGAAGGAAAGATGGTCCCTGAGTCCTGTGAGCTTTATATTTAAAATAGAAGAAATAAAATATAAAGCTGTGCTGGGTGGGATAAGCAGTAAACACATGGATGAAAATGCTTTGGAGCCTGTGGTCTGTCATCTCTCAGAGCAACTTCATCACCCACCCAGGCTCAGGCTGCCTGGAAACAGCCCCATAAGCTGATGGATTCTGGTGGCCAGGAGCATTATTTGCCTTTAATATTCAAGAATTGCAGTTACAGGGATGCAAAAAGGAAATGGACTACAAAATATCAAATGCTGAGAGGAAGCCAAGAGGGATGATCCGAGGCACTGAGTATATTCTGCAGAGGCCCTGAGTCAGCAGAGATGCTGTGGAGGAGGTGGGTGTGATAGATCCTGGAAACTGCACCAAAATCATAACAAAAGCACACAAACAGTGATTTTCATTGCCTTTTCCAGCTGGAAAAACAACACGTGAACATCAAATTAACCTGGTGGCAGCAGGACGCTGTATGGACTGGACGTTTGAACAGGTTCAGAACGCAATTCGGTAACATTCATCGAAACACACTTCAGAGGTGGCACCGAGTGCCGGAGCGGAGGGGTGGGGCGCGCAGGGGCCGCGCTCGCGTTTCCCGGGAGAAGCCCATCCCTGCCCGGGAGGGGCTGCTGGTGGCCAGGCAATCGCGGTCAAGGGTGGGAGTGCCGCCTCTGCCTCCTCCTGTGCCTGGCACCTCACCCGGCACAGCTGCTCTCGCCTAAAATAACCCCTGCTTTAACAGCAGTGAGCGACCGGAGGAGGAGGCCTGACAGAGAAACGCCGCGTCCTCAGGACTCGCGGTGGTTAAAGCAGCACAGAGGCCGCGGACATTGCTGAGGAAGCCGGCTCGTATCTTCTCATCCATTCCCGGCCCGACCGGGGAAGCCCCCTTTTTTTTTTTTTTTTTGTAAACAAAAAGCCCCAAAAAACAAAGCAAGCGCAAACACCCCCTGGCCGCACACACTTCATGCCGAGAGCTGAGGCGCTCAGCGGCCCACACTCCGCCACTGGGCGATCAAGAAGCCGAGCCCCCCAGCCCAGCCTGATGCCTTTGGCAACGCACGGGAAAACACGCAGCCTCCCAAAAAATCCCCCACACGCTCCTTCCCTCCCTCGCACAGGAGCTGCGGGCGAGCAGCGCGGGCAGCGCCGCCCGCAGCCGCGCAGGGGCCGCGCCCAGCGCACCGCCGGGCCGCGCAGGGGCGGAACTA